ACACACGCGGTGGAGCGGATGGGGTATATATATATATATATATATATATATATATATATTATTTTTGAACATCAGCATTCAGCTTTACCTTCAGCTTTTTGTTGCCTCTTGTCTGTTTTTGTGCCTGGGAGGGATCTGAAGACGCCCAATAATTTTGACCTTCCCCTCCTCCAGATAAACAAACGATATGCCTCATAAATGCCAGGTTCCTCTTTAAAAGAGGGAGGAAAAGGTCTTACAGACAGTCCAGGCTGTGAACTTCATGAGAACAGAGCTCGATTCTCTGCTGCACCGCAGCCCCTTCCTTGTGCAAGCCTGGGCAAGCCACCCCGGCCCTCAGTTTCCCCTCTGTGGCAGAGGGATGCTCAGACTTCTGTCTTCCCTCCCTTCGCCTGCCTTATCTTTGGGCTTCGGGAGACGCTCAGGGCAAGGGGGTGGATTTCCTTGGCCCTTCTCCCTTCACCTTTCCTGGTGCAGCTTCCCCGGCTCTGAGCACGCAAGGGAAAGGGTTAAACGCTTCCCCTTCCTCTGCCAACACAGACGGCTCCTAAAAGCAAGGGGAAACTCTAAACAGCAAATGTAGAGTCTGAACAAAGATTTACCCTTTTCCCTCCCCTTCTCCCTTTCCTCCCCTTGAACCAGGACTTCAAAGGAGCTCTGGGATGAAGGAGAAGGGTGAGGGTGTTGCAGACTGTGAGCTGCAGCCCAGGGTCCATATCCAAACCAAGGTACCTGCCAGCTTCCAAACTGGAGCAGAAACTGGAGCGGAAACCTCTGGCTCGGCAGATCTGTGGTTTGAAACCATCAATATTGCATAAAATCCAGCTTTCTGCTCAACCTCGGAGAGTCCCATCCCAGGTTAAATCTCTGTGGGGCAAAGCTGGGATGTTACAAACTCCCAGAAAAGCCTGCAGCTGCCTGCTCCTGCAGCCCGACTGCTCCGGCTCCGCTCCGCAGAGCAGATCAGCCTTCTGCCAAACCTCCGAGCAGCAGGACCGGGTCTCATCCCCTGCCATGCGTAAGCCCTGAGACTCCGTGAAGGGACCGAGCTGCTCTTGTTCTATCTCCTCACACGGCTGCAAAAGCAAATTAAAAATTGGCTTTGGGGGTTATACACTGAGGATGCCTCGGATCTTTTCCCCAAATGTCTCAAAGCACATGGATACGTTCTTCAGCCAACATATATTTTTAATTTCTATCTTGTATCACAGTTTTTTCCACAGCTGAATTTCCAGGTGGAAGTTTCTCGTGTGGCAGGATCCTGCGGGCATGGGATCAGATCATCACTTGGCTCTTTCTATCGCCGAGCATGTGACACCTCGTCTGACAGCCTCTGGCGCCGCAGGTTCAAGGCCGATTTCCTCAGGTGTATAAACACAGCCCTGTGCGGTTCCTTTGAACGAGACTCATGGTCAGATGCCACCATTCGGCTTCCTGGATGCAGTGTTTGCTGACTGCGGCCAAAATGTGCCCTCCTTAGCAGAGAAGAGCCGGGCTGGTTTTTGGCAGAAGGGTTCCTAGAGATCGCAGGTCCTGGGGTATGAATGGCTTCACAGCTAGAAGGCAATGTTATTTTGGGGCTAACGCTGAAAGGATTAATATAAAATTTCAGCTTGACACAGAAAGCTTAGAAGATAAAAATAGGCTCTTGCCTCTGCTGAGTCATCTCCTGATTTAAAACATGGATCGGGGTGTGTTTAAAGGCTGCTCTGGGACCTGCTGCCTTCCCCACAGCATCTAGGTCTGGCCAGGGGAAAAGAGCCAAAGCGGTGTTACCAAAACCTCTGAATGAACCATCGCTGGCTTTTATTTACCGATGTCCGTGCCCTTTTGCTCACCAACACACCGCGAGTCAGCAGGGCTGCGTTAAGGACCGACTCTGACGATGAATGTGAAATAATCTCAATGAAAACGAAACCAGCAGCCGCCTGTGGTTGTGAGCAGCCTCGCATGAGAACACCGCAGCCTGAGCAGGCGCCGGCACAGCTCAGCAGCCTCAAAAAACCCTCCTAATAAAAACATAGGGTAAAACAAGCTCCATGTCCCGTGTCTCTGAGGGCTGGCTGACCTCTCCCTGATCTCTGGAGAAACCTTGTGGGCGCAGGGTGGCTGCTGCAGCCCAGCGGCTACAGGGTTAAGCTGATGACTGCACACCACTGGTCTGACTCAGAGCCTGCCAGAGGAACTGCAGCACAGGCAGACCAACTAAAGCAATCCTTCAGGGAAGCCAAACACATCTGAGAAACCTGGAAAGTCCAAGCACAAGGGCTGATTAACCCCTGAGTGCGCCCACAAGGGAAAGGGCAACCAGCACTAAGGTCCCAGACACAGCTCGATTCCCCCCTGCTCTGCAAGAAATATCGCATATGGCGAATGCAGTGATACAGAAATACCCAGAACTTGGCAGCTCTGCTTAAGTGACAGCATTTGCCTCCCCCTTTTTAGTAGCGTTGAGCTTTGCTCTGAAAACATTGGACTTAGCATGAAGAAACTTCTCTCTCTTGCTGCTCTCCTGCATCCCAATGCAAGGTTGTTGCCTGCAGGAAACGGGGAAGAATGGCAATGATGCTGCCACATAAAGGAAAAAAAGAAAAACATCTTTGAAAGGACAGGAAAGCCAACATCTGTGGATGCTAGCTGAGACAGGAGTTCCTGCAGAGCAGTGCTGCTGCCACAGCCCTCAGCCGCCCCAGCAAAGGCCAGGCTGCGGTATGTGTGTCTGCCGGGGCTGTTTGCATTGTCCACTTGTGGGATGTCAGGCAGGCTCTTGAGGTACGCAGTTTCTCCCTATTCATCCGTCTTGCCTGCAGCAGTTGGAGGAGCCGGCGCTGGGAGGATCCCGCTTCCAACCACGGTGCCGCTGGCTCAGTCCTGTGTGGTCTGCCAGGTCTGCCAGCACACCCTCTGCCATCAACAATTGCACAATCCTGCCTGTGCAAGTGGCCATGCATACCGTTCCTGGGGTGATTTTTGCTAAGAAGGCGTGGTGCAGTGCTGCAGGTCCCCAGGATGAGGGGGGATCTCCAGTCTTGGACATCTGCTGCCACGGCTGACTGAGCCGAACCATCGCTTCTGTGCATGCCCGGCAGCACCTGTGTGCTGCGTGCCCACCAACAGCTCGCACTGGCCTTTGCGCCTTGCTGGGCCACAGCAGCAACACAAATAAAGTGATGTAACACACATAAAAATGACAACAGCTTAGTTTCAACTCAGGCCCTTTACATTCAAAGAACAGACGGACCGTGGAGGCCAAGCAGCCCCTCATGGTTCTAAGCACAAAAAGTTGCTCCCCTTGGCATTCTCACCGGGCGCCTGCTTGCCTTCGCTGCTGCTTGAGTTTGGGGGACAAGAGGGGGCAAGGCTGGCGAGGCCCAGGGTGGAGGCCCTCAGGACAGGCCCACAGCGGCCTCAGGCCTCCAGCACGAGGGAGGAAACACAGGCCCCGCTCTGCAGCATGACATCACCCCCAGTGACATCACCCCCAGTGACATCTCGGCGTGATGTCACGCACGCGGGAGGCCGAGGGGTGTGTATATGTGTGTTTTGGGGTGGGGGGGGGGCAAAG